TCCTTCCCGCCTATTTCTCTCTCTTCGTTTTATACCCGTGTCAAGGGGAGGACAGGGTTGAAAAATGTAGCTGGGTTTTATAAAGCCTCTTACAACAGAGCCGCCTTCTACCACACCTTCCTGAACGATACTCGAGAAAGTCAGGAGCTGTGTAAAATTATCACTGACAGCACTTATAGGCACTCCTGCTCAGGTACCGTAAACGCAATCAAATCTAGGCCTTCGGGGGATAAAAACATTTGCCACAGAGTTCAAACGGGAATTTTCTCTTCGTGCACACGCGGTGTTGCACAACAGACCTGCTGCATTATCAGCTCCTGCGGTGGTTTTTGCCCCCTCTACGGCTCTCAGTTCCTGCCCCAGAGAAGCTGGTTTTGACTTCCACTGCAAATAGCTTTGGACTCATAAGGCAGGCCAGGGGGAGCCTGCACACAGGCAGTGCATTTTTTATATCACCTATCTATTCTCCAGGGAAAAACAACAAATATATGCCTGCTGCAGAGATACTGGTGCAAAGAGTTTTTTACCGAAACAAAACAAACCCCAAACAAAAATCCTAGCTCATCAAACAAATAAACGAGCCACCTTCACACAACCCCACCCCAAAGTTTCTCCTCCTTAAAAGAACAGGTCTGCAAATAAAATTCTGCGATTAAAACAAGATCTAAATTATGAAATCTTTAGACTTTAAGCAGAATGTACAATATTCCTAATTGTAGGAATAATGTTGCTCCTGTTGCCTTTGCTCCCCGTAAGGCAGGGAGATGGGCTGGGAGTGCAGCATCTTCAGCAGCCGCACTGCTGAAGATAGGTACCAGAAATTGCAGAGGGACAGCATGATGCAGTGTCTGGCAGTGGGTGCTTGAGTGCCCAGATTAACATCACTAAAAGGTTTGAGTAGGTTCCTGAAATGCTATCGTGGCACAAATAAATAATACTGAAGTGCATGCCAAGCATTATAATTGCTATTTCTTTTTAGAATGATTTCTTAGTGTCAGATAACTTGCCATCTCTGATGAATTTCTCTTGTGCTGTTTTTGCAGTATGAATGGAATGAAAGCGAGCTCTTCTTGTTCAAGTCATCCATCGCCTATGCCATGAGAAAATACTTTGCAAAGGAGAAGAAACAGGAAGTTAACTTCCAGTGAGTGGCTTGCTTAATTGTGCCAGTTCTGTCCATACTGCTTCTGGTTCGCTAGCTAATTGGTGGAATTAATTGTGCCTTCTGTCAAATATAAAGTGATAGCAAACAATGTCAAACATCAGCTGGTTGTAAAAGGCAAGATGCCAGCTTGGTTACATGTTGTCTTTTCACTCAGGAGTCTGAAGCTTAGGAGTAACGTGCTAAAGCTAGGTAACTTCAGTGGATGCAGAAGGCTTTGTCTCCCACAGCTTACCAGTAGTAGAAGTGAGCCCTGAGAATTTGTGCCCGACACCTATATGGGAATATCAGGGAAGATACATTGATTAGAAAGAAAAATTTCTAACAATGTATGTGTATGATATTGAATATCCAAGAGGTTTTGGGTCAAGGAGAGATAAACTTATTGACTATAAAGCACTAGAATTCTGTGCAAGACTTACTAATCTTGTCTAGGTTCACTTACAAACATAAAATCTATCATCTGAGATTGATTTTGGTATGAAAAACAACCCTTTTTATTAGGTCTCTTCAAAAATTTTCAGAAGCTATCTACTTAAGCTATTTGATATTACTTTATAGAACATCAGTCATGTAATATCTAGGATCTACTCCCAACAGAATATAAGGAAAAATGATTATTTTTTTTTCCACTTGGTACTTCGTACATCACCTCATTCATGAGACCTGCCCCAAAACCTCTCTGTTCTGCAGCTGATTATGTGCTTTGGAAAATTACGCCAAGGATTGTCTTAGGTACGGGGTAGACTCTTTCCATCTAAAGTTACAAATTAGCACATAGAAAAAGAAATTCTGTCAGGAAAATTGATTTCACTTCCCAGTTGAGGTCATGAGGAAGCATTCACTCAGCATAAACTAACCCCCTGGCATTGCCGATCAAACACAACTGTTCACTTGCCCGAATTTAAAGCTAATGTCATCTCAACAATTAAAAAACCCCTTTCTCTTCTGTTTCTCATTCAGGGTTACAGACATTCATGTTGGGGGACAGACACAAAGGGTCTCCTTCTACCTTACTGTCAGCATGCCAGGTAATATCAGTGATACTGTGCCCAAAGATGACGTGGAAAATGCCATCAGGTGAGATTTTGCTCTCTGGGAGAAAAAAAAAAAAACAACCAGGTGAAAGGGTGGAAAGCAAAGCAGTGCTCAAGTCAGCAGAGGCAGAAGGGGTGATAAGAAAGTCAGTTCTGCAGTTAGCATGGAAATAGTGGGATGAGAGAAACTGTTACGACAGAAAGAAAAAAGTCCGTCTATCTGACGGTGTCTTGGACAACAGCCAATGTAAAATGCGTCAGGGGGCTTGTAAAACTGCCAGAACACAGCTAGTTGCGTCATACCTTGCCAGAAAATATCATTGCTCAAACTTTAACAGGAACTGTCTTATATTCTGAAATACAGAGCACAGTAACGGTGTGTGCATGCAGGCGTGTTTTCTTCCTCTCGTTAGTGAAAATTCAGTGCAAGAATTATTGTTAGCAAGGACTCCAGAATAATGATGTATTAGAAAGACAGCCATATGTATTTGATTATACAGAAAAGAAGAGGTCAGCGCAGGAGCTAGTTCCCCACTTACAGGTGGGAAGAAGAAGAACGAAGAGCTCTTTTATAGCACAGTATGACACCACTGTAAGTCATTGCTGTAAAAATGATAAGTAAAACTGCAACTCCGCAGATGGTCACAGATACTGTACAGTGGGAAATGAAGAGGGCACAAATCTAAAAGTAGCAGCAACATGAGATGGGGTTGAAAAAGCAGTGAGATAACTTGGTGAACCAAAGAAGAAGAATATGTCTATGAAAGTCACTGTCCGGTTAGCACTCAATAGCAGAAGTTGTTCACGGAAAAACAGGGCACAGAAAATACACCAGGGAAAGGGTTTTCAGGGCAGTGAAAAACACAAGAATCAAAGGTATGGGAGACTGTAGGAGGGAAACAGGTGAGAAGACATCAAAGCTGTGGTTTTCTGTCACATATCCAAGAAACTTCGGGTAAAGAGAATGAGAGGCAAAATGCAAATAGAGAAGGAGATCAGAAGGCTGGTTGCCTCATTTTGATAAATGTTAAGACTGAGTTTAGGAGTTCATAGAGTGTCTGAATATGTCAGTTAAGCTGTAACAGGTTAAGGGCTTAAGTTACTGTGGCTGTCACTCACCACCCCATCCCAGAAGGAACATGGGTTTACCAGTACCTCCTGTGCAGCCTTTTCAACTGAGCAGTTCAGGGGAAGCTTGGCGTACTGGAGGTTTTTAAAACAACTGAAAACTGTTTATTTCCTTCCAATAAAAGTGTGAAACTCTTTGAATTTGCTCTTGATGGCAGGATGTCTCGGGGACGAATCAATGAGGCTTTCAGACTGGATGATAACACGCTGGAGTTTGTGGGCATACTTCCAACCCTGGCCGCACCTTATGAACCGCCAGTCACCATCTGGTTAATTATATTTGGGGTGGTCATTAGCCTGGTTGTCATTGGAGTTATTGTCTTGATCATCACTGGGCAGAGAGATCGCAAAAAGTGAGTAGTATTTTTGATACTATGATCATGACCGCTGGGAGACGTCCTGATGACGTAAGCATCAGGGTGCTTACAAATAGGCTGCCAAATCTAACTGAAGCAAGTTAAGGAGTTAAAGCTTATTATCCCCCTCCCATCAACAGTGATAGCTAAAGGTTCAGTTTCCTGCTTTTCAGTGCATGGCAGCTTTGGCAGCTTGGTGCAATTTCCCCATCATCAGCAGTTTAACCAAGGCGGCTGGACGTTGTGGCTGCTGGGAGCCGCACCGTGGCCAGGCGTCTGCCAACCCCGCTGCAAGGTGGATGGAGTGGCCTGCTGGGAACACAGTGCCTTCTCCAACAGCAGAGTTGCCCACATTCATCAGCACCTGCAGTTTTCAATAATCTTGTTGGAGGCTGTCCAGTAATGCAATTTTCCTTAAATTATTGCATTAACAGCAATATAGCTGGGTTGGTTTTCTATGTCTCTCCATTAATGGGGTTTCTAAGAACATAGTAGGTTTGCTACAGTTCCCCTTAAAACCAAAACAATTCCTTTTATATAAATATTCCCACTTAAACACAGTATTATTTACAGTAGGGGATTCTGGGGATCCAGAAGGACTTGAACAGAACAGGGGCTTCTAATAAAATGAATTTTCATTACAGGAGAGCGAGGGAAAGTAGGAGTGAAGCAGGATCAAACTGTGAAGAGGTGAACCCTTACAATGAAGAGGGAAAAAGGAACATGGGTTTTGAGTCATCTGAAGAGACACAAACATCATTCTAGAAGATGGGGGTACACTAAGGGTTTCTGGGTTTTTTCATTTCACTTTTAACAGTAGAGCCTGGCAAGGACCAAAACACTATGGGTGTCATCAAACATAATGTCTTCTGGTTGACCATTAATCCACTGGTTCATAGACAACAGCAACTAAATCTGCTGTTTATGTGGTGACTAGGAAACATGCAAAAATTGAAGATATATATGTCCTGTGGCTTTTCTATGCATTATGTGCATAATCTTACACACTATTTGTGCTGCTTTTTGTAAGTGTGCTGCATCCAACTTCTCTTTGTTTCCTTTGTAATGAGATACAAAAGCTTGGAAGTATACAGTTGTATATATACAGATCAAGACAGAGGTAAGAATAACTCACATACTCCTAATGCCCTTGAGGAACATCTTGATCTTTCCAGACGGAGACCTCAAAAGTGTATCTAACAGACAGTGAGGAAAAAACCTGACCGCCAGAAGAACCTTAGTGATGAAGAACTCAATTTGATATGAAATAACTGCAATTTTTGCACCTTCAGGAAATCTGTATCAACGTAAAATGGATACTGGATGAAGACTAACAAGCACTGGAACTTTGTTAGGAAGTCGTAATATAAGTTATTTTTCTAACTGTTGGCTTAATAAGTATTATAGAGACCAAATAGCCCATGCTCCCTCAAAAAAAAAAAAAAAAAAAAAAATCTGTGTTATGTTGTAATCTAAAAATAGAATAAACTTCCTTAATACTAAATGATCAAAGTTCTTTTTTTTTTTCAGTACCTTAGCCATTGCCTCCACTATTACAAATACTGCATTACAAATACCGCATACTACAAATACAAATTGCACTATCACATACAAGGGCAGTAGATTGAGGCTTGGGAGGTTCAGGTTGCACCTGAAAAAGAAAAGCTGTTCACAAGGAGGGTAGTGCAACACTGGAATAGATTGCCTATTCCATGCTCTGCGAGAGGCTGTGGGATCTCCACCTTTAGAAGTGTTCAGAGCTCAGGTAGGCAAAGGTATGGCTGATCGAGCGGTGGGGTCAGTCCCATTCTGAGTGAGAAGTTTGGCTAGATGACCTCCAGAGGTCCCTTCCAGCCAGCATTTCTATGATTCTGTGTCTTGTAGGTCCTGTGCCATACCTGCCACCATGCCAGTGCAGTTGTTCTGTACGCCCCAGGGTCACTGAAAGGCACAAGGTGTCTACCCAGTCCTGCGTTCTGACAAAAAGCCATAGCAAACACGAGCCTGCATGAAAAACATTCAGCAAATGCACAGACTCTTAAACTCATGGGCCTCCAAAATTATCAGGAACTGTAGAAAGCAGTCAAACATATATCTGAAAGCACACACCTGGACTCTGCGGGCTCACAAAACACTATCCTAATGCTCCACACTCATTTCCTATTTAAGAGACAAGACCCTTAAATGAGACAGTTCAAAACGGTAGGCAGATGATACTGATTAACTGCAAACTAGACAGGAATGTAAAGGAATGAAAATATTTTTTTCTAGGTAGGTTTTGCCTACCTACACCACATATCCCATTGCCATAACATCCCCAAACCTTACTACTTTAGCTGAACTTTTAAGATAAATAATTCAACTATATGCGGTCTTCCCACTTACCATGCAGTAACAGAAAAAGGGAATGGCAAAGCTGGAAACAATCAAATAACGTAATTACTCATGCCAGCCATCTTCAGATCTGTTGTTAAGATTAACATTTCCATTAAGGCAAAGCTTTTATTTCAAAGCAATTAATTTTAAAAACTGTGCTATGAATCAAAAAACACCATTCAGAATTGTCAACACATAAAGCCACTAAAAAAGTATGGCAGGATATTGGAAGAACAGAAATAAAAAGACGATGTTTATATTAAAAAAACCAACTGCACGCATTAGCCCCAACAATACTTCATACCCTCTGTGCTGGGGGCCCACCCTCCTCTCACATTTTATCTGTGTCTGCGCTCCTTCCTCACCCTTTCTCTGGGTCAGCACTCCTTGGCCCAGCTTGACGACAGGCAACCATCAGCCTCCCTCTCCCTCATGTGCAGCCTCCCACGGCCCCCCCAGGCCTGTGTAGATCCCCACAGTCATTTGCACGACCCCAAACGCCGCTTTCCCTCAAACAGGCGTGCAGCTCCCCACGTGGACAGGGATGCGCTCTGCTAGCCAGCTTCCAGTGCTGGGACCAGGCAACACCAGCAAGCACAGGCGCTGGAGCCTCTGGCCGGCCAGAGACCTTCATTTCTTTCTCCCCACATGTCTGCACCCCGCATTTCTTACTCCTCAGGTTCAGGTGAGCTCGAATGGGAGCTGCAGAGGGGTCCCTGCTAGGGGTGGGCCAGCTCCACCAGGGAAAGGGCAAACAGACGTCACTTGGACTCTTAGAGGCATCACACACTGAACTAGCTCAAATATTAGGAGAGAAGAGAGGATTTTTTTCAGACCGGACTTTATTTTAAAATCCCTTTGTTTTATACATATTAGATCAGCATTTACAAATGTCAGTGTCTGAGTTTAGACACCTCTGTTATAGTTGTGTAGCTTCAGATGTATTTGGTATCTCTAGACTTACTGACGTTAGCACTAATTTGTGTAGTGCTATGCACATTTGAAAGTTGTGTGCTCTTATTTAAGTGTTAACATCGGGAGCCAAATTTCAGCTCCTCAGTAGTAAAATATTTGGCTAAGCAATTATATTAATAGCATTTTCAGTTCTCTTCAAATTTTTGCTCTTCAGGCTTTATAGAGATCAGCAAATTTACCATTTACTATTGCAATGACTATGGAATTCTGCATAAAACTTTTTTTTTCTCTATTTTTACCTGTGGCAGGAAGCAATAACACTCTAATAAACACCTCATATGTTGCTAAGTTGCAAATACCTTAGATATGTAGCTTAGAATAATTCCAAATCAAATGTACACCCTGAGGGCTGAAAGTAAAGTCAATAGTACCGGTAAGCAAACTGATACAATATTTTACCACTAGTATTTTCTAAGTAATTGAAAGCGAGATTATAACTATTTATGTTGCTGTCACTTGCAGAAGTTCTAAGTTTGACTTCAGGCGTCAGCTTCAAGTGATTACAAAGAAAAAACACATTCAGATGAGTTATGATAATCGGAAAACCTAACAAGCATGTATTTCCCTGTTTACATTTCCAGTTAAGGCTAAATAATGACAGCTTGGAAGCACTGAAGGAGTGTACACAATTGGTATATACATCTCAGTGTCTGAGAAGTCCTTTGAGACAATGCTAACAAAATGAATTACATTCTTCCACAGTATCTTTCCAAATTCTGTCACCCAGAGAGTGTCACAAAAGCTTTCTCCATATGCTTCTTGGTCAACTCCCTGATTAAATGAGAACAACACTAGTATACAGAATAATAGGGGTGGCTAACGTCAGGCAGATTTCAGATTTAGCTCTCGTACAGAAGGTGATACGGAACCAGTATGCACAGTCGCCTGTTTCTGTATCTTCTTTTTCAAGCTCTGTTGTCTTCTCTCAGTGCCTCAAAAAATGATAAGCGCTGATAAAAGGCAGGGCGCTTTTCTGGTAGCTAAATGTAGCAAAGATGATGAGTATGGTTATTTAATTTTCAAGTCATTCAGGAACTGTAATTGGCATTAGTTTTTCTTAGATTTTAGCATGCAGAAATTTGTACAGACAGTGATGATTATGAGGTAAAGAAAATTAAAGCTACTTTTAAAATCTATCTTACGTTGTGATAGTTTAATATTCTTTCTTTGCATTAAGATGTCCTCAAATATAAGTTATTTTTCTCATTTTTCTGACAATTACATTTAAAAAACCCCCAAAACATCACTGTCATTTTCCTAGAACACATGCAACACACATGCAACATATAACTCTCTTTATAAAGAATATTGTCCAAAGAAAAGTATGGAGATGACTGACAAGTGTGATTCTGTACCCAAACGTAAAACTACTTCTACTGCAGAAGAAGGTAAAGTTAGATGATAAAGTTAGTTATAAAATATATTTAATGTAGACAATGATGGAGAAAACCCAAGACATAGCTATCCATGGACTGAATTTTTTACAAAATACATACGAACATCCCCTTATGCGTGTATGTGTGTGTACACAGAAAGAGGGAAGGAAAAACAAAATGGCAGCTATAGGTATTATGTTTTTATAGAATAACAAGAAATTTTTTACTGATTTTTTTAAGTGAGTGGGACATATACTCCTTTGGTATCAGAAAGATTTCTGAATACTTTATAGTGTCAGCTACACATACCTATAAAAACTGGATTATACTGAAGCAATAGAAACACTGGATAATATCATAATCATTAATTCATAATGATAGCTTTGCAAAAAACAATTTTTTTTGTAACTGAACATATATGATAATCATGCCAAACATAAAGCGAAAAAAAAATTGTGAAATATTTATTTCACAATGATATATAATACTGGCAGTAATGATTTTTTTTTGAAAAAGAAATTTATTGGATCTTTGACTTCCTTCCAGCTTGAAGATTGGATCACTGTAGTGTCACAGTAGGATCAGAATAAAATGGTACCTGAATCCCAGCTTTCCCTGATGAGAACATTAAAAAAACAAGATTGTTTGTTCTCTGACATCTGCTTTTGGGATATGAATACATCAGTTCAGTTCTTTGGGCCTTTAAAGACTCATTCGTTAAGAACAACCAAACAAGAACTGACGGATCCCACTCGCCCCTTGCTTCCACTGCATCAATAGAAACAGTTAAAATGAATAAAGACCTTCTAAGAAAAAATAATGTGTCTCATTGAAGTTAATGCCAACATTGGAGTTAACAACAATAAAGCCTGGAGCCAGGATTTCCTCCATAAGAGCAAAAAGAAAATGTATCACCAGAAAATCCAGATTCTGATTTAATTCTATATATTATAAACAACTTGAAAGGGCATGAATGAGCTGTTTCTCTGCCAGAGTCATTAATATTGGGAGACCAGCTGAAGTTAAAGATAAGAAGCA